AATTGGTTTCCTCGTGCTTGCTCAACATTCATCTAATTATATTCTGTAAAAATTGGTCTTGTCGTTTCTCATTATATCGTGTAATTATAGTTTAATGCATCGTTATTTTTTTGTCTGTCGTGGTTAATTGTTTACCCGTTTGCTAAAAATAAATCAGTATCTTTCAAACAAAAAGTCATAAGGCTAATAGTAGCTATTTTTGAGTTCAAAGGACATGTCAAGAGGTCGTATGAAATAAATGTTTTGTTGTCGTCGTGACTCCTCGCGTACACCTATTTTACGCATCAGCTTGTTTGTTTTACTTTTTTTATATATATACACTTAATTATGTAATAAACAACACTGCTTTACTCGATGTCGCCTTACTAATTTTTCACTAGAGAATTAAGCGTAATGAAATCATTTACAGTCTGAAAGTGTTGATCAAAGTAAATTTACGATTTAAAGGTGAAATTAATTAATGAAGGCTTCGTGATGTTTGCGCTCTGAAAATTAATTCGCTTCAACCTCCGGATTATTAAAAATTTATAATGAGGAATAAAGGAGTGACTCAAGATGCAAACGACTGCCAAATTATTCTTCTTTCCATTTTTATTGGTATTCTAATTTAATTTAGTAGCACGGCGCATCCGCCATTTTTCATTTTGTCGGTGTCGGTATTTAGAAAAATAACTGGTAATTATTTCCGTTTGCTTAATGAACTGAAATTTTATAAACGTTTCCAATAACTTGTCAATTTGAAATCAATTTAAAAAGTAATTGTGGAAGCGAAGTGACTAATGTTTGGTACGTATATTTTTTGGAGTGTGAGTACATTCAACTCGACACTTGCGTGGGAACAGAATTTAAATAAGAAAAATTCCATTTGAGAAAATTGATAATGAAATATATGTTTGATGTTTACTTGTTTTTATGTAGAAACATTCCAATAAAATATTGGGTTGGTAGCTGTCTGGAATATTTCAATTTGCAGTTCGTGCAAGGAGTGAATTTATTTCTAAAGAAATATTTGAAATAACTGAAAAGCATTTATTACTTTAAGAAATTGTTTTCTTCTGAGATAATTATAAAGTCGGGACAAGGTTTTAATTTTTAGAATATTTTTATTAAGCGACTGAAATTAATTAATTTTCGTATTTTATTCAGTTTGGAATGGATTTTTTCATGATCATTAATTAGCCAATTAAGATGTACAGTAATTTTCCATTTTTTTTCTTTATTTGTTCATGTGCCATATTATGTTAACAAAAATGAGGTTCGTTTGAAAATAATTTTATATAACACAACGAAAATTAATTTGTACTAATTTTTTACGAATGGAAGTGAAAAGTCAATACTTATTAATGGAGTTCGACAGGATGTTTTTTCTAAAATTTTGTTTTGGCTGCGGGTTGTTTTTTTTATTTAATTTTTTTATTGTGACAAATAAAAGATCAAATATGAGTATATTACAAATATACGGTTGGCCAATACCTTGACTTGAAAGGATTTTACACTTAAATTTAATAAAGGTGAAACTTTATTCCCTAATAATTCTACAATAAACTCGTAAAGGAAAAGAGCAAAACTGAAAAAAGTTGGTCTAAATTTATTTAGACAGAACATATTTCGCATCAAAAATCAAACATTCAAACAAATTCAATGTCGATGAGGATGGGATTCAAACTCACACGCGGAGACTTCAAGTTGCTCATATTCAGCGCCCTAAATCACACGGCCACCGACCTGCTTGGCTCATACGTGAAAACTATCTAAGAAACATTTTGGTAAATAAATATTTATGTTTAAAAATCAAGGTGGATTCATAAACCACAAGTACAGTACAAAAGTAGTGGAGAACCATAACGAATTAGAAAATTTATTTTCTAAAATAAAAAAGTTCTGCGATGGCATTTAGCCGTGATAGGTCCAAGCAACAGCAAAAGCCTGATTTTAAATTAATTATAATCTGTCATGCGATAACTCATAATTTAAAAAAAAAACACATTTCGTGAAATTTATTAAAAAATTAATTAAACGGCATTTCATATGGTAACTTTGCGACTGTTAATGGTGAATGTTTCAGAGGTTTATTTTTTTTTTTAATGCGAACGAAATGAAAATAACAGAAAATTAAGAGGAGTTCTCAAAGCGTCTCTTAATTCTTTACAACTTTTCCCCCTACAAGCTCCTTGGAAGGTAATTAGGGAAGCAAATATTCCATTTATTTAAATTCACACGTAAAAGTCCTATGTATCAAAGTCAAATCACTAGCGGCTATAAATTTATTACAAAATTATTGGTTCAAAATGTAATAAATAAATTGCTGAATGCTAAGTTAATAATGTTATCCCCTCGCGCTCGCTCATTCCTCGCTTCAATTTATTCTCACGGTTTTCTAAAGAATTCGAACTTTACTAAAGACTTTATGTCACGTTATCGACGTTATACTGAATCAAGAATCACCTACACATTCTGCGTTTTCTTAATTTCGTTTCCACATCTTACAGCAGAATCGTTGTATTCATGAGGCAGTCGCACATGTATTTATTTTAATCATTTTGTCCATATTACTGTTTATTCAAACCGCTGAAAATTATTTTCTGTTATATGTCCCAAACTTCGGAGTGCTTGTGTTTGAATTTATATGGTTTATTCCTTTGTGTGTGTACAAATTTTGCAAAGCTTTGATCTTTTCTATAATATATAAAAAAAAACAAATAGGAGATGTAAAACCATAAGTTTTAATAGAAAATTAAACAGAACATTTTCACTTTTCCGCCGTAACTAAAGCATATTCGGATTTTTTTTATATTTATAACATGTTATAAAATTACTGCGATTTTTAGAGGTGCTGCTAATTTTTCGGTTGGCTATATTGTGCGATCGAAAATAATGTAAGGCAGTAATGCCACCCGAACCGTGACATATAAGATCGGCTCTAAATCATTTTATTTTCAATGGTATGACATGACAATGAAAGGTTATATAAACGACCATAAATCAACTTTTCAATTTTGAACAAATGTTTGCACGATTAAAAACCTATATTTTCAAAAGCAGTTGTAAGAAAAAAGACAACTTTACTTACAGTGTTTATACCTGCATAGTTTCTTCTTGAAAAAAGGTTTTCTCTTTTTGCACAAGTATAAATTTTTGCATAAAAGTAAAGTCGAAGACAGACTTGTGACAACGAAATGTCGTTTATATCAAGATTTTCAGGAGATCTGTATATTGGAAGCCAGACTCAGTAATGAGTTTAGCCACATTTTAGTGGAGTAAAAATTTAGGTTATCATCACTTATCTGTTAAGTAAAGTAATTCCAACAGTACCTATAATACTTAGGTTTAGAAACAATTTCACATTTTCTTTTTTAAATCATTACACCTCTTCGCATTATTTCTACTAGAATAGCATAAAATGAAAGCCTTAAAGTTTTGATTGAAATGCCATATGATCGAAAAAAGCCCTCTAGTAGGGCATGAAATTTATTTTTAAAATAATGATGTTGGCAACATAAACACATTCCTTGTGCATTTTGGCAGTAACTGGAACTGTTTTGTTTTTATTAATTATTTGAGCTAATTCGTCTTAAAAATTAATAAATTTTGTTATTTCATCGTCATACTTTATAACAAATTTGCTTATATTTTACGGCTACGAAGCTTTTGAACCTAATTTTTGGAAAAACCGATACAGTTTTCAGTAAACTGATGTTCATTATACCGAAATTTTATTTTTTTACTTTTACACTTTGGAATAAAATTTTGTACACACTTTTGACTGATTTACTTCTATGACTTCTGTTATTTTATTTTGACAAATTAAATGTTGACGAGTTTCACAACATTTTCTCTGCGAATTTAAATTTCTTTCAACTTTGGTCATTAATTTTTTTAAAGTTATCAGTTAGAGATACAAATTTGTTATAAATATTATTATAAATTATTTATGAGTAGTTAAAATATGAACTAAACTTTTCAGGACAGTCTTTGTCGAAACGGTTGACTATTTACTTCGAATGAAGTAACTTTTTTTATGTTATATTAATAACAATCTGTATAATTTACAAAAAAATAAAAATAGGCACAAGATACGAAGTAGGAAGCACGTTTTTAAGTCATTAACTAATTGATTGACTAATTTTTTGCGTAAAGGTCAAATTTATTCTTGAACGTTAACATGATCTTTGAAAATTATTATTGTCTGAGCAAAATGTCAGGATTTAAAACTCGGACAAAGTTCGCAGCATCATAACATACGTATAAGATGAAATAGAATTTCGCTAAGTGCTTAATAACTAAAAATCAAAGCCTCCTTTATAGACGAACATTTTATGTTCAAGATGAACATATTTCAAATTTTAATTCTACGTGACTAAAAATATTTCATAATTATTGTTTATACTGATATTTAAATAACGTAAATTTGGCTAAATAATTAAATTAATTTTGTAAGTTACGAAATTGTCCTCTTCTCTGAAGTTTAATTTTGTTTTAATAAAAAAATTTAAACAAGACATAGACATCAGTAACCATAAAATATTTACACCTAAACGGGCTATTAAGTAGAGAAAACGACTGACCTGTTGCGTTACTTGGAAGAGCAGTTACGTCTCGGCACATGGAAGAGCAACAGAGGAAATGACGCGAGGCGTTCCGACGCTCCACAAACGGCAAACTACAGCATGTGGCGCATCTCACAACCCCCATATTAGACTAATATTCTCTCGAAGATATCTTATACGTAACCCAAACGTCAGTGAAAAATTTCATAAGAAAATGCTAAAAATGTTGACCGAATTTTCCCCTTCGATTGTACAGTTGTTGGAAAACTCGTGTCGTGTTGCTGCGTATAAATTTTATCAACCTCCAATGTAAAGTAAAGTGAATTTATTAGCAAACTAATATAATAATATAAAGTTAAGAGCAATACGTTACGAACATCACGACACGAGTTATTGACATACACGACAACTTTAATACATATTAGCATACTAAAATAAGTGTTTTACTTTCAGGCCGATACGTGGGTAGTAGACCTATCAAATTACGCAAAAGTACTTGGAGGAACAGGTGCATTGACATAGTGAAGAAAAAGGAAAAGGAGAAAGCTGCATTGATAAGCATGTTGACGTCCGGGTCCGGAAGGTAAATTAGTACTAAATCGAATGTATTCTCACACAAGTTTAAATGTATATATGTGTTAACAATAAATAATTTTCGAAATTAATTAATAGGAAGTTGGAAATCCTCTGCCGCGTCTCCTTTCTCGGTAACAGGAGAAGTCAAATGTTGCTCCTCTTCAGCTTCTACTTTACCAGCTCCAGCGTCTTGATCAAAACGTTGCAAATATCCAATGATATCCATAAGACTTTGTTGGGAATCTACTATAGGTAAATCTAAGGGTTCTGGTGGTAAAAGCTCCTCTTTGAACGATGTAACAGATCTCGCTCTCCACAACGGAACAATCCCTCTGGGGTTTCCGCGGTACTCTGGACCTGCAAAAATTGCATTGTTTAACCAACACATTTTGCTCGCTGTGTTAAATTCGATATGTCAAGCACTGGGGCAGTGGAATTACATAGATATAATCGTCTCTCATAATAATTTAATAATTGACGTATTGTCTTACTGTCTAAATTCGTATCGTCGAGAGCCAGCTTATCGGCGCCCACATAGTCAAATGCGGGGTTCCTCAAGTTCACGTAAAATCCATGTTGCATGTATTTGTTGTTTTCGAAGACGAAACAGCCAGGTCCTTTGGGAAGATTTTTCTCGAATTTTCCGTGATATTTATAGCAGCCGTAGTCGAGAATCCCCGGTCCCTCCATTCTGCCTTCTTTCCAATTTCCTAATAGGCCAAATTATATTGGGTCTTTAGGGTGTTAAAAGCTTGTTACCGGTGTGAATTACATTAACTGATTTGTGTATGTAAGTGCCGTATCCATGTCTTAGTCCTTTGTACCAACTACCCTCATAAGTGTCTCCGTTAGCGTAATAATAGATTCCTTTGCCTTGTTTAAAATCGCGTTTCCACTCGCCGACGTATCTAGTGCCGTCGGGGTAAATAAATTCGCCATTACCGTATTTTAAACCTGGGAACACAGATTTCACATTAGAGTTGGTGAGGATTTTTAGCCACGTTTCTCCGAAGAGTCATGTTCAATATAAAAGATTAGTGGGACTAAAGAGTTGCAAATTGGATTTAAATGAGAAAGTTTTTATTATTTACCCTACGTTAACGTATTTTTGAAATTTCAGACAGTTTATTTACTATTATATCTTATGCTAAACTGGTTTCTTCTTAAAATAATAAAAACATGACTGGTTAGAATAGAACGTGGGATTATCAATTAAATAACAAAGGATGTATATCTTTCTAAGTTTAGTTTTCAATTATGTTAGAAACTATTAAACTTTCACAGAAAAATTATTCGTTTGGATTATATTATTATGTTAATTTGTTATTTCCTTTTAAGGAAATCTAAATAAACTGAAATTTGTCGCTTTCTAAAATTACAATGTAGCTTTTATTTTCAGAAAATGTTTCGTCTAACAAGGAAATCTCACGAGTTGTAACGCCCTTTTTTTTCTAAAAGCATGAAAATTCGAATCCATGTAGCAAAAAACTAGTTACTTGGGACCATAATGAGCACCATTTTCTCCTTATAAAAGATTGAAAAAACTCGTTCTAACAAGATCGGTTTTTCACTTTCAGAAATGATGTATTTAGTGGATATTATTGATATGTTTCATTTTTAATTAACCCAGATAATGTGATATTAACAACTTAACATCACCTTTTTTGCCTCAATGCTACTCCAAAGAGCAGAACCGAACCTAAATTATTTTGATATTTGCTATTTCAATAAAAAAGAAAACTCGATGCGAAGTTTTTCATGTCAGTGTTAACTAAGAAATGAAGTCTAAGCGAATGTTTTTGTTGACATATTTTCTGTTTATCATGAAAAAACCAACAATTTAGATTAAACATGCAACAAACCAATTTCGTTAGCAAGAGTTTTTTTCTAAATCAAATTTTACATACTTTAAAAAAATATGGGAGTTACAACTCCTCACCCATTTTAAATAAACCGCTGTTATAGTCAATAAACTTACGAGTTCCAAAGACAAGCTTTACATACGAGTCACATGTAGGAAAAACTTGTACAATCATAACAGGGTTTCGAAGTTGATATTAAAAATCTTGAACAAAAAAAATGTGTTTGTTTTTGAAAATTCTGTTATATCGTTAATTTCCAGGTGTAAATTTTTTATATATACAATAGTTGTTAATTATAAAATTAAACATACAAATTTGTTCATTTTTTAGGAAAAAATACCGTATTGTTGAACATACTACATGTAAAAAACTGTTTTCAAACATTTGCATTTAAAAAAATAAAATAACTTGTTATATTATTATTTAGTTAAATATATATGATAAAACTGTACACTATAAATTGAAATATAGTGTTGTCGAGATACCCTCACCCGATTAACAACAATAAAACAAATTATAAAAGTTATGCTACCACTGCGGCACTTAAGTATGTATTCTATATCGGCAAACCTCAACTCCGGTCCAGGTCGGGCGTTTACTAATCTAGCACCTTAACTCTGATCCGCGGTGATATTCACCCATTTAGGCATGACATTATCTCCAATCTCACAGATACCTATCTAATACTTATTTAATGCAGAACACATTCACCTCACTTTAGATTATTAAGTAAACATTATTTTAATAATTTAAACAATATTAGTATTCATGTAGGTACAAAATTTTACCGGTTGCGCAATACTAAAAGAAACAAGTTATTAAAAATTATAACATAATATTGTTGTATTTAAATGAATAACATTTCACAAAGTCGTATCTCGAAATGTAGCTTTGTTATACAATTTTTTGCGATGTGAACTTCTGCTGTTGTCGAACTTTTATTTATTACGTCTGTTTTTTGTGCTATTTAGTTTCACGTATGTATCCAAACATTTGCATGGACTTTAATTATAACTTAAAAAGGACAGCAAAAATTTATGTATAGTATTTCCACCGATAGATTAGCTGACAGAAAAGTCACCAAATAGACCGCTGTAAAAAGTAGTGCCAAAGGCGCTTTATTTGAAATATAAGGAGATTTGAAAATAATGTTGAACGACGTAAAATTACTTTTAATAATAACACAATTTATTTCCAACAGACAATATTATCTATACTGGAACATACACTTCGAATAACATTACGTACTTTATATTGAAGTAACAACCTCTGTATGGCATCTTAAATTAAAAATTTCCTTCTTGAAAAATGAATACGCATTGGCAATCATTTTCTGTGCCACGATGTTGTCAACAGTCATACTGCATCGGGTTGAAGAGGGCTACAAAATATAATGGTATATAATGATTGCAGGGAATAAATCAACAACTCATTCTTGCGTAATTATGAATTTTATTCGTATTTCATGGGGTCCATATGAAACGTTTTTTGACACAAACAACTTAACCTAAAATGTCCAAACTTCAGCCACTATACAAAAAACAGCACAAAGGTCTATAATATCATACCTAACAAATCAAAACAAGTAAAAAAACACAAACACTAAACGCAAAAAACACACTTTTTAACTTTTTGAACCAAAATTTTAAATTAACGTCAATTAGCTGATCGACCAAAACACAGGTTAAACGAAACCGGCCGACTGGCGCAGGCATAGAGGCGTAGGAAATTCGTTGCGCGGGAAAAGGAACGTTGGTTGCCAACTTAAACTACAACTCTTTAACTGCTTTAAGCGTATAATGTTAGTATATTTTGGATTCTCCGGTTGGCGATTGTGAATTCAAAATTTTCCAATCTATCGCTGGAATAGTATAAATGTTAACAATCGCTGTTCTTACTAGTTTGGACTGGATCTAAGGCAAGGGGTTAAGCCGCTCCAGGTACTAGTGTAACGAGATATCACCTTTGTCCAGAATTGATTGTCTTTAACAGTAAATATTTTGTGAAATTCCTAATTTGTGTTGATAAGGTAATCTTTATAGATTGACATATAAGGAATTCACGTTCGGTAGATGTAACTAAATTTGGTAACTTTTTTTTTTAAGCTGTGTAACTGCGGACATAATTGTTCTAGTGTATAATGTATAACGGGAACGTCAGAAAGTAGGTATCAAAAATGTGACATGTAAGTAAGTAAATGTCAAACATCGAAAATGTGATGGTTTTGTGGTAATCTGCTGAATCTATTTTTGAACCAAGGAGAAAATCACATCCCTCTAAAAGCCCAAAGAGGAACCCGCATGTAAAATTGTGAATCTTTTCCCTTCACTAGTTTTTTTAGGAGGGCAAGATTTGATGTCATCATCATGGATCCACAATTTTACCATAGATCCGTTTTGGTATATCCATGTCTTATTCAAGAAAATGAAAAGTAAATCTTCACCACTATCACGCAATTGGAGATACCGCCCTAGTAATTTGATTCTGGTAGCGTGGTAGCTATGTGTTTAAAATGTGAAAAACTTTGCCTTCGGAAACCTAAATTTATACGTGTATTACGTACAATTATTCTCAAAGCCGAGTGTTTTCCCTCTTACAAAACAATAACGATTATAATATAAAACTTAAAAACCAATTGTAGAGCGGAACCAACAAAGTATGTAGGTGTATGTATATAAATCTGCGCAGTCGTCTTTCTGATTCTGATTATAAAATTAACGGCACCGGCGCCATTGTATTGGTATTATTTTAAAATTCGAAAAGCACTCGACAACACCAGCGAACTTTACGGAAAATATTTCTGCCACCAGTTTAACTGTTTCTGTTTTACTCAAGCGTTGTCCCTTTTCTCTGCAATTTTTTGATAACCACGAAATAGTTCTTGTCTCTTTTCCTTTAAAATGGGCTTTCTTGTGACTACTTTTGTGAAAATTGTTTCCACGCTGTATTTAGGGATTTTCTTGAAACGAAGCGTGTTAAAATTAGAAAAACTTTGTTTTTTTCCACACAAGTCAGATTTGACATTTGAATTAGAAAATTAGACAGTTGATACCAATCTTTAGTTTCTAGTGATCTTAAGATTGCAACTTAACCACAGAAAAATTTCTGTCAGCTACTTCTACCGAACGTGAATGCTTATTAATAATGTAGTAGATGGGTTAACTATTTAGGAAGCTAGAAAACTATTCAGTTATTACGTCTAAAATATGCAAAACAACATTTAGCACTTTTTTAGCTTGAAATGCAAATCATGCAAAAAATATGACGACTAACTTCACGTAAATACTTTTTTGTGTAACTATGAGCAACTTTAAAAAGAAGTGTTAATACTTAAAACTACCTTCACAAAAAATGGACCCTTGAAAAATTTGAAATTAAGATTAAGCTAAGAATCATTCCGATTAAATCAACTTTCAAACAATAACATAATAAAGAAATAATCGATTTTTACTACAAGCTATCGTTTTACAACTGAGTATTATTATTGAGCTTCAGCCGAGTTCATTTCTTGCCCATTTCACATAACAGCCCTAAATAATAAATATAGCTAATATTTTAAAAAAGGCAGCTTACACGCTGACAATCACATGGCATCGATTACTCATTTCCTCGCGTCGCTCGGATGTTTGGGTCTTGCTGTTTATTCACGTTCGTCATATCGTGCTTCACTTTCGGACCTTGTGACATAAATAGCTATTAGGTTTGACACGACACTAAATTTAGGACGAACACGACTTATGTGATAGAAATAAAAAAAAATCATTGATGGCGATTTTTTTCAATTCCAGGATACATTCATATTCGTCAATTAGAGTGGTCTAGATGTGGCTTTGAATTTAATATCTTGTCAGTTGGACTTTACTGTAATTTGTAGCTTTATCGAAGTTATTTAAGCCCATCGAAATCCATCGTAGGTTAGGGCATTAATTAATTAGTCCCTAAATGTATCAAATTGTACAGAAGTCAAGTGTTTAGTCTTTTTAGAATAATTTTGAAGTTGGTTAAAAGAGGAAAGACATAAAAAAAAATAACAAAGTGTTGTATCAGTGTGACAGTCATGCATCACTAGTTCGAGAGTGTAACAAATGGAAT